TTTTCTTTTCTTTCTTTTCTTTTCTTTGGACGGAGAGCACCCTGAGGAGCACGCTGGCTCAATGGGGATGTCGAGCGAAGTCTCTTCTAGAGACCATTACTTCAGCTGTGTGATACAACCTCTCTGCGCATTTCCATCCCCCTACACCGGGTACAGGAGTGTATTTTAGAGTTCCCTCAGAGACTGCATCCTGACTAGTCAATCCGGTGTTTTATTAGAAAGCATTTCCTATTTTCATATCAACTCAAACTGGACTAAAAAACAAGAGGAAGTTACATTGTTCCACATGCCAAAATACCATATGCACCTTCAGATGTATTTACAGAGATGTATTTCCCATGCTGGGAAGTTCAGGAGGTGGCACACACAGATTCCAGATTTTCTTGACATGATGGTCTCCTCAGCCCCTAACTTTTGCAGGTTGCAAATTTGCTTTCCTGCTCAGTGATTTCATTTTTAATGGCTATCACTTGTTTCTCTAGTTGTCTGAGTTGCTCTGCCTTGTCTTGCTTGGTTTGATTCAGATCCTGGAGTTTCTTCTCCAAATCTGTAAAAGTAAAGTGATATGTCATGGTGAGCATATTTGTTGTAAGTAATGTTGTAATTTGTGAGTAAAACCAAGCGTTTAACAGCATTTTTTTTCCCAATCAGTTTTAGAGGAAATAAGCCCATTCAAATGGGAAGTGTTCTTTGTGTAACCGAGGGCAAAAGTCTGGCTTCTGGATTTTTAAAAAGGAATGTGACCGTCTTAGAGCAGTTCATTTCTCAGTATATGCTTTTGTCCATCGACTGTGATGGGCCAGGACACAGAGCTCTTAAGCATTTGCTTTAAATCGAAAAAACCCAGAGGAACGGTGTGTCCACTGAGGAATATAAAGCCTGGACAGTCTGGGCCCAGATTTGGATCACCCTCTTACAGAGATGACACTACTGGTCCCTGTGAAGCTACACAAATTAGAACATACTGATAATGAGTCAAGACCACATTATTCACGTCTTACATTTCCAATGCACTTATCGTCAGAGCATTTGGAATGGCTGGGATGATCTTAATGGTTCTTCTCAATGTATCTGCTCAAAATGAGCAGATTTGGAGATCCTGACCTGAAGCATTTCCTCCCAGGATGGAAACTTGTTTCAGTTCTCTTTAAATGATGCAGTAATTTCTAATGTCAGGTCTCATCCTAGGCCCAGGATGCTCAGTGGAGAAGCCCAGAGCTGCCCTACAGGCAGAATTAGGTCCCCTGGGTACAATTACAGGAGACATAGTGGAAGTTGGCGCATAATTTCTCTAGTGATGGTCTCAACCTGCCTGTCAGGCTGTGCTGAAGGAGCTGTGGTCTCTCCTAACCCATAGCCCCTTCTTCTTGCCTGCTATAGCTCAGCAGGTCCCGTGCAGATGAGCTGAGATCTCCAAGGCGCACGCGGATGAGACACTAGACTGGATTGATGTGCCTGGGACACGTGTCTGCGCTCTGCTCTGCTGCCCGCTCGGGGACACAGATGTTTCTCTACTTGTTCAAACAAGCCAATATTTATACCCGTGTTTTTTTTTTTTTTTTTTTTTCCTGCTGTTGCTCAGAGCTATCCCTGAAAGGGAGCAAGGACAGGCTGATGAAGAAAGGCTACCTGCAGGTCTCTATTAGCATGAGTCATTGCTCAAATAATGTAAGTACAGATGGAGAACAGGGGAATGATTTAAGGTCTGAATGCCCAAAGCAAGGATGTAAATCAAGGCTCCCAGCTAAATCTGCAGCTGAGTCCACTGCTAAGAGCCTTAGAGGAGTTAGGCAACTTTTGCACTTTTCACATTCTTAAATTGCTGCAATTAAATCACTGCAAGTCCTTCTGTGGGCACTTCTTGAACTCTGCTAATGGCAACCAATTTCTATCCAAAAATGTACATAAGCCAAATCAATTTAGCTACTTTTGAACAGTTCAGGTAGGTTCAAGCAGGGGTTTTCATTAGTCAAATTGTTTTTAAACTGATCTCAGGTGAACCGAGTCAGTTAGTGTCTGTAGACAAAAATTTTAGTTTAATACACGACTTTCACAATTTTCACTGCTCGCTGTGGAAGTGAGAACACCACCTGTGATTCTTTTGATTTTTTTTTCAGTCTCTTCAGCCAGTTTTTCTGCTGCTTCTTTCAGCTGTTTCACTTTCTCTAATGTTACTTTCGGAGGTCCTTTGGCTTTTAGCTTCTCTTGGAGAATGCCGTACTTTCTTTTAATGTCAGCAAATTCCTGTAACAAAACCCCATTGCATAGTTTAAGAAAATGTAGCATTGTACAGTTAATCTGGCATCCTGAAAAAGATTTTTCTACCTTGTTTCTTATCCCATTTAAATCAACTTTCCATCTCTCATTCTCTGAAATCTTAAAAAAACACTGTAACGAGTATACACTGAACAAAGCCTCCCAAAACCTGACAGAATTCAATTAAAGCAAATTGCCAGTTAAGTGAACCGGAGCATAAGAGGGATGACAATGTAAAGGAAATATCATTTAAGCTTCTCAAGGCTCATGCTGTTTTTACTTCTTTTGATACAGCTTTTCTGTAAAATTCATTTTGCGACGAGGTTTAATTAAAGTTTAATAAATTAGCTATTATTATTATTGTTATTTACACTTTTAGCAGTAATGATATTTCTGGACTGATGCCACCCATACTGATTTAGCTTGCTGTGGAGGCTGCAATTGGGATTTCTACTGGATTTCTTATGAGCTGGGAGCTTAGTCCTGCTCCGCCTTGTGAGCTGCGGAGCCGGGTTCTCCTCACGCAGCCCGCTAGGAACTTCCAGCTGCCTCAGCGCAGTCGCAAAAATCAGAGCTACTAAAAAGCACCCAGCCAACCCAGGACTCTGCAACTCCCACAGCCGTTTTGGCTGAAGGAGAGTGGCACTAAATGAATGGCCAGACTTCTCCCATTGCATATATTTTAATATCTGTTTTTGTGGATTGTTCTGTTGTGTTTGTTGGTGCCCATGGTGACTGTGAGTCTTATACACAGAGCTAGGAAAAATGTCATGGAGTAGGCAGACAAATGGATGTGTTTCTTTCATTCAGGCTTCAACAACAGAATTGTTACTTGCTAGATATCTTAAATATGTGGGTAGCATACTTAAAACTTCAACAGTTTTGAGGGGAACAGCATAACACAATCATACTGCTGAATCAAAAGTACAAAATATAAAAGGGATATATGTATCTTTTTTCTTTAACATGTGACAGAATGGCTTACATTCTTGATATTCTGAGCTTGCTTGTTTGCTGCTTCTGCCCCTGCTTTTGCATTTGTAGCTTGATTCCTGCTCTTCATCATTTTCATCTGCAACACGGTAATTTCATCTTCCATCTGAGATTGTTTTGCTGAGAAGTCATTTAGTTCATCGCTTGTCTTGTTCACTTGAGTCTCAGCCTAAAACAGAACAATGGGAAGCTGCTTTTTTGTGCCATGTCCCTCCAACCTGCAGAGCTCAGCCACGGAGGAGATGATAATGCCAGATAGGGGAGTCCCCAAGATGCTATGGAACCGATGTCCTAACTGAGCCACATTCTTCTTTTGTTCATTTTTACACTTACATTGGGGAAACTTTGAGACTTTTTATTTTCTAAAATGCAGTTAGTGAAGTAAATTAAAAGATGTACAGCAAGATACCTGTGAGATTTGTGCTCTCATTTCTTGTATCTCTTCATTTAGCTTTTCGAAAGTTCCTCTGGAGTGTCCTTGGGAGTTCACAACATTTTTTAGTGTGTTATTAATTTCATTCACAGGTGGAAGAGCTTTTGCTGATTTGCTAAAGCAAAAAAAAAAAAAGTGTGGAGGCTGAAGAAAGGAGACATTTCAAATCCACCCACGCTCATGTGTAGAAATGTTCCCTTGAGTCCAAACACCATCCATTACAAATTGTGGCAGTAATTTGTAACTGTGTATAGCAGCTGGCAAAGCCAAATATCAGGAAGGGATGTTACGTGTGGATATATTGGATAACAGGTTAACGGTGATGGTAGCTGGTTACCTAGTGGGCTACTGTTATTAGGGAAAGCTCACCTGAGAGGTGAATATATTTTCTTCCCAATTCTTGTTGGTTCATTATCACAGAATCACAGAATGGTTAAGGCTGGAAGGGACCTCTGGAGATCATCCAGTCCAGCCCCCCTGCTCCAGCAGGGACACCCAGAGCACGTGGCACAGGGTGGCATCCAGGCAGGTTTGGAAGATCTCCAGAGAAGGAGACTCCACAGCCTCTCTGGGCAGCCTGTTCCAGGGCTCTGTCACCCTCACAGGAAAGAAGTTCTTCCTCACATGGAGATGGAACTGCCTGTGTTTCAACTTGTACCTGTTACCCCTTGTCCTCTCACTGGCCACCACCAAGAAGAGTTTGGCCCCATTCTCCCTACATTCTCCCCTCAGGTACTTGTACATATTGATCAGATCCCCTCTCAGCCTTCTCTTCTCCAGGCTAAACAGGCCCAGCTTGCTTAGTCTTTCTTCATACGATAGATACTCCAGTCCCTTAATCATCTTTATCGCTCTACGCTGGACCCTCTCTAGAAGCTCAATGTCCTTCTAGTCCTGGGGAGCCCAGAACTGCACCTCCTAATCCAGGTGCAGCCTCACCAGAGCTGAGGAAAGGGGCAGGATCCCTTTCCTTGACCATCCCTACTCAAACCTCATAGGGAAGCAGCTATAATGATCACCAGATCCCATGTGTTGGTAAGTAGCTGCATTGGTTTCTCTTTTCAGTGGTGGCCACTGATAGGACTAGAGGAAATGGCCGGAAACTGAAACATCAAAAATTCCATAGGAACTTAAGGAAAAATTTCTTAACAGTGAGGGTGACAGAGCACTGGAACAGGCTGCCCAGAGAGGTTGTGGAGTCTCCTTCTCTGGAGATCTTCAAAACCCGCTTGGATGCAGTCCTGTGCCACGTGCTTTAGGTGTCCCTGCGTATGCAGGGGGGTTGGACTAGATGATCTCTAGAGGTCCCTTCCCACCCTAAGCATTCTATGATTCTATGATTCTAAGTTCAGCTGCTGAGGAGCCCGGAGCTCGCGGGAGCCATAACCTTAAACAGCACGTCAGCTCCGCGCAGGCTCACGGATGCTGGAGAGACCCTTGTAGAAATGGCAATATGAAATCAGCTGTAATCTGAACTTTCTTTCCAGTGTTATTAGGATTTCTAACTGCCTGGGGTATGGAGTTGCCTTATTGTGCTGTATTTAGCTGAATTTCAGCTGGATTTAGTGCCTCCGTAAGAGAATATCTACTCACTCAGCTTGTTTTGCCTTCACCAGTAGTTTCTGAGCTTCTTCCATTTTTCTGTTTCTCTTATTCACATTCAGTCTGTACTTCTCACAGTAGCTCATAACGTTTCTGATTTTGTTGAGCATGTTTGTAAGCTCTTGTGGGGCCAGGGGAAGCTTTATTTGCAGAACATAGTTTGCCACCTTCTCGATGTCCTCTGGAGGTGCACTCTCATCTTAAAAAAACACAGTGTTTACAGCATTCTGAAACACATTCTGAAACTTCCCAGTGAAATGTAAATGACCATTATGGTTGTCTACCCATTGAGATATGCGTCAGAACAAAGCTGATAAGCACAGCAAGGGGGTAAGAGAATTATCTCTAGCATTTTGTAATTTAGTATTGTGTTTCCAGGTACTGCTATTAGTGTTGTCAGAGCTGTCTAAAATAAGGGTCTGAACCTGCTTTGAACAGAGTTATTAAAATTCTGATTTAGCAGTGAACCCTTGGGAGGGTTTAGCTCGGCGCACAGCACAGCTAAACGCGTCAGAGCCCATTTCTCCTCAGCCTCAGATCAAAGGGGTGCTGAGGAGCCCGCGGTGCAAACGAGCCTTCCCGAGCCAGCATGTGGCTATAATCCCTTCCCCGCCACCACCTGACATCTGAAATGTGGCTCCTTCACTGGCTAGTAGGAAAGTTGGGTCAGACTGAGATAGAAAGAGAATTTGTAGTGGAAAAACTGTATTCTGTTAAGTCCCCTTACGGATTATTTCTTCCTAGCTCCACCTCTGCACGGGCACACTGGGCTAGAGCAGTTCATGCCTTGCAAAGTCTCATTGCCGTTTCTCATTGCACCCCCTTCCTCTACAGACAAAACCTTGGGTGATAAAGCACTTGAAACACACACTACATGTTTGAAATAATGCTGCAAAGTAACTTACCAATAATTAAATAATAGACATCTACAGGGCAAACAGTAGCACATGCCTGAGAGTTATTTTCTGCAGAAATATGTCAATGTACAGTAGAGCAGATTTAATGTATCTTCAAGTACCTCAGCTGCTATAGTTAATAAATTTTAGTTTACAAAGCAAAAAATACTAAGACATATAAAGGAAGAGCCAAAGAAGGATTTGGCAGTCACTACCAAACAAAATCTGAGATTCTTAAGGCTTTAAATGGAGGTTTTCCTCCAAAACTGCCAACACGCGCTCCTTAAAATGTTATGACATTGGCTGCATTCAAGAGATGAAAAAAGGACTAACATATTTGACATTTTTAACACCCATTTTATGCACATTTCTTAAAAGAAATCTTAGGGTCAGTCTCTTAACAACTTTTTTCACAAGGGTGGAAAAGTTTTAGGTATGTATGGTTGTTTTGTTATTTTTAATGGGAGCTAAGGGTTTGTCTGGAATCCTTTGATTCCTCAAGTTACAGCTTTATGGAGAAGATGGAGCCGTATGTTCCTTTGTATCCGAATTCCCACGCTCCCTACTTAGATCCTCTATTTATGGGTCTGGAGGAAGGGGATGGAATAACAATTTGAGGATGTATTGAATCGTGCCTGGACATTATATACTATATGAAATTACATCAGTGGCACTTTTTTCAGATAAACCAGGCACTGAGGGAATTGCTTGCATGTTTCAAATTAAGCAAATGAATAAGAGATGACACAACAGATCTATGGGAAAAGTCATACGAAGTAATCTCTTCTGGGAGAAAGGAACACTATAAAAGAAGGAATTGAAAAAGATTTCTCAGATCAGGAGGTAGACAGGAAGTTAGATAGGTATATAGCTAAACTTTTTCGATGTATCATGCTATATTATACTGGAATATATCAAAGAAAAATGAGTTAGAAAGTACCTTTTTTCATATTTACCTAATAAGAAGGCTTTTATTTTTTTGATGAACTCCTTAGTGATCTCTCGGTCCACTTCAATTTGATTCTTAGCTCTCCCTAGTTCCCCATTTAATCGTGAGCCTTTCAGCTTGGTGTCTTCTGCCATTTTTCTGAGGCTTTCAACCTGGAAATATTTTTAGAAATAGCAGTGCCTGCCTCTGGAGATTACATACCATTGCTTGGCCAGTTGAATTGACACCAAAATAATTTTGATATGATTCCCAGATAGAATCATTTGATCCTAGGAGATGGAAGGGATGGAGTGGCTTTGGAAACCACTTTGGGGAGCTCCAGAAGTTGTTACATCATGGTCTTCATCTGGCCTTGAAGCAAAGCCTAAATCGAGCATTTTTCTCTTTCTCTAAATACCAATAAGCCACAACACCTTCTATTTCTAAAAGGAGACACTGGCAGCTATTTCTATTGCAGTTTTGCACTGTGTGAGTGAACAGATTAAGAAAAAGGCACATAATTAATTTGCCTCTTCTTTTGGAATTACTGTTAAAATTATGTTTAAGGGGAAATAAGTCAGAAAGGTAGGGTTCAAAGGTTGTATTTCAAAGCTGCATTTTCCCACTCTGTTTTTATTCCAGATCATTTAATGGAGAGCTCTAGTTTAACTAACCAATTCCAACAGCATTTTGCTTTCCTTGGGGCTACGCTTTGCCTTGGGAAATGCATGGGAAATGCTTCTCTGCAGTCTGTGGAGGGAAGAGGCTCATGGTTTCCCTGTGCAACAAGAACGGCAATGATGTTTTTGTTTCTGAATTATCTCAAAAACATCCTGCCCGTTCTCTAGTCCTCACCACTCCCCATCCACACATGCTGTCAGCAGCAGAGCTGGCCCGAGGCTTGTGAGGACCAAAAGCAGCAGCCTCCTGTTGCCACCTCCAAGTGAGGCATCCGCCTTCATGGATACCTCTGCAGGGCCTGGAGCCCAGGCGTGTGCCCCGACTGCTCCTTTCTAAACTCATAAGCTGTAACACGCTCTCATGTGTATTTTAAAATGAGGCAGTGGATGCCTAAGCACCCTGGAAGGGCAGAACAAATTCACAGCAGAATTACATTTTAGTTGGAAAATGTTTTTTTTTTTTTTTTTTGCCTAAAATTGTAACAAGCGTCATCTCTGATTTCTAATGAGAACAAACTGTCTTTACTGTTGCTTTGGGATTTGTCTGTTTTGCTTCCTTTGCACATGTTGCGTTGGCCACATTTTGCTTGAATTATTTTCACTGCTACTGTGCAGCAAAGAGGAGCAGTCCATCACTGGGTGCTCTTCTAAATGGTAGCAACGAAAGGGCACAAAGTTTTGGATTGAAATTATTTGTAAAAAATCTTTAACAGTAAGGAAAAAAAAAGTTATATAGAATGAGTTTAGTGCTGTAGGGAGAAGTAAGGTATAATTAGTAACTAGCCCCTTAATAGAACTGGGAACTAACTCCCCCAGTACTGAACTGTGCTGTGCCTGTGGGACTGGGACATAGTCCATCCCTAAGCTGCTGTCAAAGGAGCAAGGGCATTTCTCTAGGATTGGGAATTTTTACTGCATCTTTCCTCATTTTAGCTGCCTACAAGTTAGCCATATAAAATCTAAGCAAGCCAGCCATTTACAGTATGGAAAAAAAAATACATCTTCCATCAGTGACTACTGCATCCTCATGTATGTATCTGATATGGAGAAGAAAGAGCTGGAGCTGCCTGTTTCTTCTCCCAATTCTAACAGGAGTGTGGAGGACTAGGTTAGGTGCTGCCAGTTGCCTTGCCATGAAGCATGTGGTAGGAATCCCCTCCTTAGCACCTTGTTCAACATCAGCAATCTGCTCTGGAAGTGAGCTGGGCTTTTCTGCCTCTCTTCTCTGTGTTCCAGGCAGTTTCTCCTCCCTAATGGGATAAAGCAGCAGAGAAGGACCCCTCTTGTTGAAAGCAGCAGTGCCACAGGATGTGTTGGACTCCCTGGATTTTGAGCGTTTTAGCATAACTGGGCTTATGGACAAGATGCTGTTCTCCATGAAGGGATTGCCCCATTGCCCATCCTTCATCCATTTCACTGAACAAATGCAAGTTTGATATACAGCACCTGATTCTCAGGATCCTGTGGCTGGATAGTCAAATTTTTTAAGGCCATGGCAGTCTCCTCAGCTCTCCAGAAGGCCTCTGCAGCATGAGGAAGAGCTCCCCTGCAGCCTGGGCCGCTGCACTGCTTGGGCCCGGGCCCACCTCGGCACGGAGCTCCTCCACACGCAGCTGAAACACAGGGCCGATTTCCTGGTGCCCCACAGACCTACAATAAACAACAGCTTTGTGTCAAGAATCCTCGGTGGTTCTGAGGAAGGGAGATGTTTAATGTCACGTGGACATTGAATTTATATGGAGATTTTCCCTGAGAGTTCAGTCCCTCCAAAGATGCCCTTCCTTGACTTAAAGGATGCAATGGCAATCCATGACTTCAAGCATTTCCTTGCAAGAGCCAACTGTTGGGCTCCATATGCTGGACTAAAACACTTGCTTCACTCCTCTATGGCAAAAATGAAATGCTGAATGGTCCCCTAGCCATATCCAGCCCACAGATACATCCTAAAGGATCCAAATCACCTCGCACACAACATGCTACCATATCACCAGCGTGCAGGTCTTACTCGGGCACTCAGCAGTGACTCACCTGGCAAACCTCACGTGGCTTTATAAATATATATGTATACATATAGTCAATTCAGTGAAAAAAATAATTGGCCTTTTTTTTGATACCAACAAATTGCTATCAAAGAAAAAGGCTAACGCTATTTTTGGGGTGGGTTGGTGAGGATGAGACCTTGTTTACATGTGAAATGTCACTAAGAATTCTCAGGTTACATCCTAAGGGGTCCACGGTCATGAACATAATGAGCAGTTTGGGTTACCCAGTATCTATTGTCTATGATGTGGTCCAGCCAGACGCTGGCTCTTTGAAGTCTTTGGGGAGAAAATGGACACTAAGCAATCCTTGAGAAGAACTGTGAGAAAACCAGGGTCTGGCAGGGCCAAAGATCTTGATATCTCATCCTGCCCTGGAACTTCAGGAGCATAATGGACTTTCTCATCTTTGATACAACCAAGTCCATTTTAAGCACCATACTCTTCAGGGTGATTGTCTCACGTCTAGGTAAAACTGTGGCACATGTGAAGTATAAAAGGGGTACAAGGTACAAATGTACTCAGTTATACAAGACTCAAAAAAGAAAAAAGAAGGGTTGAATTGATCCTACAGAGATAAAATAAATATTTTAACATGGACAGTCAGACTGAAGCTCTAGACACATTTCCTCTTCCTGGTCTGGCAGCGGAGGCTGAAGATGCTCTGATCACTGCCTAGCAGGATGTTATTATCCCTTCCCATCCCACAGGTGATGCAGAGGATCATGTAAGGCCTCCTCATCCACTCTAGAGCAAAGTACCCAGCTTAGTTTAAGCCACTGATGATGATGTTTGGGGCTTATACTTTACCCTGAGGTGCTCGCAAGACTAGAAAGGGCTTAAATAGCTCTTTCTGCTGGCTCTGCGTGGGAGGAATGGCTCCCAGGAGGCTGGTGGTCGCTAGCACCTGACAAGTACAGCTGTTTCTAAAAAGACTGCATGTTTCTGCCAGGGAACATTTTCCAGATTTGAAAGGCACGTAAACATCCTTTTAAAATAAAAATTAGTAAGAGCATCTAGAAGGAGATTTTTATTTAGCTCCCATTAAAAATCCATAGCTACCTACCTTTTCATTCAAAATCTGGATGTTGGGAGTCTTGAGAATCCTGAGTTGTTCCAGCACATTGCCCTCTTTCAAGGCGGTCCCACTAGTTTTATTTTCAGCCAACAACGATATTTCAAAGTATTTCCTAATGTTGCTGACAGCCTCTAAAGGAACAGAGATAATGTTAGTATAGACTGCATTTTTGTTGTATTAAATTGCTGTGTTTACTTGAATTCTAGACATGTGGTGAGTGACAGGTGATTGAGTTTGTGTCACTAGTGTTTGATTTGGAATAGCAAGGAAGGACATGAACTGTAACTTTCTCAGGCAGGTTCTTTAATCTCTCATTCACCCAGCTGCTAAGTAGGAATAGCTGTTGATGACCATAAAACCAGCTCAGATGGATGTAAATGCAGTGGATCCTACGTAATTCTTCAGAGCCCAGAGTACATGGGAAGCCAGTGGAAGCTCCAAAAGTATAAAGGGAATCTGATTAATGATACAAACTGTTATTAATTTGTATTCCTCACTAGTCATCAATTTCCACAGTTACTGATTTGACAGAAGCTCCTGTTGTTTTTGCTATTCGGAGGTTCAAGGAGGAGAACTGCTTCTGCCAATCATAAAAATGAAATGATCGCTTCTGTGACTTATTTGTCCTGTCTCTACTTAGCATAGCACCCAAAAGTAAAATCGTTTGTGGAGTTGAGGCCAAAATTTAGAATATAAATGGGAGTTTATAAATTTCATTTGGCTCCGGAAAAATTTAATCTTAGGGTTGATGTATTAAAAAAACATATTCGCTCTAGTCCAGGCAACAAATGCTTTCCATCAAAGGTGTTTCTTGTTTGCCTAGTGTAAGCCTTCCTTTAAGCAGAGACTCAAAAAGGGTGAAGAAAATTACATTTCCTTTGCAGATTAATAGCCTAAAGAAAGAACTATGGCCCTTTGAAAACTCATTATTTAAAGCTGCTGCTGTCAAGGCTGCCCAGACCTCCAGTGAACTCAGAGATTTCCCAAGTCCCCAGGGAGAAATATGTGCAATAAGCCAGAACTGATGATATGCAACAAAAAAGGCAGTAGACGTCATTGATAGACATCTATCTCTTTCTGTGTTGGTAACCAGATCAGTTTCTATTGAAGTCAATTACTGAACAAGGCACTAAAACACTTGGCCTTGCTTTGAATCAAGTTCACCAGAGTTTAGTTGTGTGGAGTCAGGTCTATTTATTTTATGTTTCAACTCCTGGAAACATCCAATTTAAAGTTAGGTCTTTACATAAAACATCTGGCAAGAGCATCACAATATCTGAGCAAGAGATTATTTTCTGTATAAGAATTCCATGGCAGGAATATTTTACAGTGGGTCAGCTCTTCATTAAATAGCCCAAATGCATTTACATGCTCTTTTGTGATGTAGCTGTAGCATTTCCAAGTTCTTTACTTTAAACATAGCATCTTAGCACTGTCTGAGTGCATGCCTGTGAGGAAGCCTAACTCCTGACCTTTGATTTGCTGAGTCCTCTGCAAAGAGGTAGGTCGGACCCCCATCCCTTCTGTGTGTCTAGGGCACAAATGTGTCCCAGGTGGGATACATGGGTATATCCTCCATCCTGCTCTACCCCATTTGCTTGGGCTGCTGAAGGCGGGTGAGGGAAGAGCAGGCAGAGCAACAACGAGGACGTACTGCTGGTCCTGAGTTGGAGATGGGGCAAGGGAGGCCAGGTCTCTCCAGGACACTGCTGCTGTCTTGAGGGACTGTTAATTGGTGCTGTTAGCTGCTTGGTAGCAGGACCAATGAATACTTGTGGCCCTGACCAGAAATGCAGCTTAAACTCAAGGTCTTGCCCTCCCCACACCCCCGTGTGCCTTTTATAGAACAGTTTATCTGCCTCCAGAGGCCTAAAGAGTGAAGTGGGCTTGGAGTGTGACCAGAGAGCATCACAGATGCTTCAGCTGTGCACCACTGACCTCACTGGGATTTATTGTTTCTTTGCTTTCCTGACTTTCTCAAAGTCAACACAATGCACAATTAAACTGGGAAACTGAGCCTGGGAGAAATGCCTTAAAACTTAATTCATCTCTCTCTTCCCTCTTCCTTTCCCTCAGCTTTATATTCCCTTGACCTTTCCTTCATTCTTTTCAATCTGATTTAGGCTGATCCTTCTCTTGCTTGAATGAAACATAGAAGGACTCTAAATGGGATGCATTGCCTCCATCCTGTGTCTTCCACAGCCCTCACCATATCTTTGGGGGGGCTCCCCCAGCTGTTCCCAAGGTCAGCTAGTGGAGCATCTACTGCTGGTTTCCTCCTGCCATTGTAGTATCTGATCAGGAGTCCCAGCTGGCACATTTCCCTCCTTCTCCAGAAACCAGTTTGTGACATTGTCATTAGAATTAGCAGCTGATGGAGACTACACTTAGCTCAAGCATGGAGGGTGTAAGTAAGTCTTTCAAAAATGCCAAGGAACTCAGTTCTGACTCCATATTTTTTGATGGTTGAGAACTTGTTCCTCACCACATGAAGTTACGCATTTTCTCATGGGAACATCGGGAAGTTACAGTATGACTCCCAGCTTTAATTAAACAAACACTTGTTGAATAACATTTTTAAAGTATTGCTAAGAGAAACAGGAGTCAGAAGCATGTAAAAAAAATCTTCTTCTATTTTTTGATATTTTAGTCTACATTGTGAAATCAGGTAGCTTTTGAGCTTTATACCAAGATTCATCAGACTTTTGATTAATGTGACTCTGGCAAATGCATCTGAAAATTTGGATGCTAGAAATCACAACATTTGAAAATAAAGTGCAATTTGGAAAGTCATTATAAAAATATTGTTAGTATTTACATTTTTGCAATATCATGGGAAACTAAAATCTAGGTTTTCTTTTGAAACATTGTACAACTCTATGGTAAGAAAAATGTGCATGGAATTTTATGGAAAATGCTCACCTTTTTCAATGAATTCCTGACTGCCTTACCTTTGAGATTCAAGTAATGAAAACTGTGATGTAGAAGCTTTTTCTGCTGTAGAAGCTCATACAGCTGGCCAGCTTCTTCCCCAATCTCTTCTATTCTCTCATTAAAGTCAGGAAATTTATAAAGTATATTGTGAAGTGGATCCATTTGTGCAGCTTTTTGTCTAAAAGAAAAATTACAATTATGCAGAAGGCACACTGGATTGTTCTTAGATGAAGTCTGAGAGATGAGACATGCAATATTTTGAGGACAACAGATCATTTTCTAAGAAAGAAGCATATACTTGTAACAGCTTATTTAGGAAACTTTTAGGATGAACTTGTGAAGTTCCAGCATTTAAGTATAGGCTTGTGGGGGACAAATAATTTATATATATATGGATTAATCTGTTGATACATCAACTTAAAACTGTAAACTAATGGACCAGCATCTGAGTACTGATCGAAACCAGGGTTTCAAGTGGAGGGCATTGCTGGTGGGGAAGACAGGGAAGGAAGACAATTTTCTCAACCAAGCAATCTTCACAGGGGTAGCAGAGTCCTTACTGCACAAAGGCATGAAAATCCTTGACGCCTGCAAATGTCTTCAATGAAAGAACAGGATGTTTCAAAATTCTTTCAATTTCAGAAATGGTGTTTTCAAAGCCTTTGAAGCGTATATCACAGCTGGGCATTCGTCCTCCTTTATCTTCCAGTTTTGCAGCGAACCTCATTAACCCTTGAACAGTCTGTGACAGGGTAGTAATTTCAGCATCCCACTGATCAAAACACAGATGACACTGACGACAAGAGGGAAAGTCCTTCTCGAAACCGCGGCCACAGTGGTCACAAAACCTGCCGGTGACACCAGCGCGGCAGTTACAGGCCCCGGTGGCCCGGTCACACTTGGGCTGGCCCGTTCCCTCCTGGTTACACTCGCACGCTGCAGGATGGGGACAGAAAGATACTGAGCGCTGCTTCCCTGGGAGCAAAACATGCAAAAAGCATGCCCTGTATTGCACTAATAAATACAAAAACATTCTCGATGCTGCTGGTCAAGCCCCTCAGACTGGGATTCTTTTTGGTGATAAACTGAAGGCAAAATTTCACATCAGCTAACTTTAAAAGCCAAGCATCTAATCTGGCCTCCTCCACAGTCACTGCAGAGAAATGGGCATATCCCCAAATCAACCTAAATAGGTATCCAACAAAAGTGGTTCTTCAGAGGCACTTAGCTACCTGCATGGCCTAGAAAGAGCACATGCTCTGACTACAGGAGTTCAGATCTCCAGCTTGTAGACAGCAATAGTCAGGTGAGACAAATCCCACTTGAAATCTCATGCTGATATTTTATGAGTTGCTGCTCAGGGCTGCACTACACACTGCTTTGGCAGCCTTCAGCTAGTGCCAACAATTTCTAAAGATCAGACTGGAAAACAGCGCTCAGGCTACAGTGAACTAGAGCAACAACATAGATAAATATTATAACAATTTCATCCATTGTATAAACACAAATGTCCAGAGTGTTAAAGCTGGTCTCTCTAGATGTATGTCCTGTCTCCCCATGAATTGAATGAAAGGCATAAATTAATTTAAACATAGTTTCTAATCCAGTTGCCCCCCACCTAATAATACTTACGAATGCAGTGTGTCTGTGGATTGCCAAAGTAATTTTCCTCACATTCATCACAACGCCTCCCCCTGTAGCCTGGCTTGCATGGACACTGGCCTGTAAACTGTAACAAAAGTTCAGCATTAAATAACTGCCCACAAAGTAGAATGACTGAATATAAGTATGCTTTTTTATTTTCTCTTTGACCTCTATAATAATACACCTATATGAGGCCTGCAGTGGCACTACTTTTGCACATTCTTTAAACAACATAGTTTATATACTTTTTTGCCCAAGATTCCCAGATACCTACAGTCACCTTCTTAAAGGTTGTAAGAACAAAATGGATTTTGAGACATAGCTTTAATTTACTAATAAGAAAGATTTTGAATGTTCCAGTCTAGAGATGATCTTTAGGAACTTATCATCTGACCATTATCTCAGAGGTTTTCCCCTCTGAATTTAATAAAAGAGATTGATTAATTTCTTATTTCTGCTGGAGCAAAGTACTGATCTTTACATTTCAACTTTTAATTATATATCACTGTAACTAAAATCTCAAGGATACATTATGTACATTGCTCTAGAAAATTTATTTTGAAATTCAGCTACTAAATTAAACTGCAAGGATTTACAGTTCAGATAACGAGTACAACTCTGAAAAGCAGTAGTAGTTCTTTGAAATTAAGAGCTACTTTTCCTAGAAAAACATGGAAAACCACTAAATAAACTAGAACGAGCAAAAAGCATGCTGAAAGCAAAGTGTGAAAGCCTATCAGCAGGGTCTTGAGATAAGCTCCTGTTGCTATGAAGTCAGTAGAGAGGCAGCTGTTGATTCCAGGTGATCACAATTTCACCAGTGTATTCTGAAACACTCTTAGATTTTTCTCCATTTTAGCTCACAGAGGTTAGCAGAAATTAAATATGATAAACATACTCGAACAGTATTATACCTGAAGCATCATTACAGTCATAGCCTCACTGCTACTTTATGAAAATGCTTAAATGCATAATACTTAAAACAACACTCACAAGACTCTTGTGACACCAAGACTGGATTTATGCCTTCTCTGTACCCATGCTTATGAAGCAGGTATTTTCTGCGTGTCATTTTCTTACCAAATATTTCCATGATTCATTTTACAACGAACAACATGGGCAAAGAGAACCTCCTTGCGAACAAGCTGCAATATCAGAAAAGCATGTTTGACATAGTGACTCAAAGCGAGATCACCATGCCAACTCCAAACTACCAAAGACTTGAATTTTCAGGCAGTAAGACAAGAATAAGCGTTCTTGTCTATGAGAGGGTCCTGACCATGTCATGTCAAAATGCCACCACCCCAGTTCCCAGAGGTCAGACTAATTTTCTTGCCTGGTTACACTGGTGACTTTGGGAATTTTTTGGACTGCAGTCACAGAGCTGACATCCTTTCCCACTAGCCACGTGCCAGTAGCCAGGAGCGCACCGGTCACAGGCAATGCCCACCACGTTGGGCAGGCACGGGCAGGCCCCCGTGGCCGGGTCGCACACGCAGGCTTCGCTGCCAGCTGGGCACACGGCAGCGCTCACACCCGCAAGATTGCACGTGCATCCTGCAAAAAGAGGGACAATCACTACAGCAGATGGTAATACAGATAGCCAGCGGACAATCAGATGGTATATAAAGCCTGTGTTATAGCTTCACTTCCAGGAAACTTGGTTTTTTTTTTATCTCTTATAGTTTGTTTATCCTTCTATGGTATGGCTTTGAACTAACTTATTGTGAGCTTTTAATACTTTTAAGACAGGCACAAAAAATGAAGGCCTAGTGAATTTTGAATATTATTAGAATGAAATGTTAAATGTGATGAACGAGTCGCTGATTTACAGTAGGCATGATAGAGCATGGGAAATGCCACTTAACTGTAAGCCAGCTGATAATCTGCCCTGAGATGGGACAAAGCTCTTGCTAAACCATTTCTAACTGATATCATCCAAAAATGTTTAGGGAATGGGCCTGCACTGTGTTTTGGAGACCCTCCCAGAACACGAGCTTCTTAAAACTATCTAGATTTTTCTGTCCTGTAGAAATCAGACCCTTAGTCATCTTCATTTGTGAAAATAGTCTTTGAAACTGAGAAACTGAAGAAATGTTACTTTAAATTTTCTTACACTCCTTTCTATTAGAAATACCAAGTTCAATAACTTGGTATTGAACTTGTACCAAGGTTCAATAACGTGGAAGACAAGGACAGTGTCTTCGTGTAGCCTGTTCAATTGTCTAAACAGTCTTTTTCTAGTCATTTAATAAACACAACTGTTAAGTCTGGGAGCTCAGCAAGAGATCATCTGGTTAACTGAACATTGCTTAGCTGGCACCAACCAGCACCATGGATAAACAATTATCTTTGATTTTTTTAATTTTGCTTCCTCCCTGAAAGGGCTGGATGCACATTTGTTTTTCTAACAAATAGTGATTTCATTTCACAGATGAATGTTTCCTAGGAGAGATATTCAGTATAAGATTTAGTGAGACTTGGATGACAATGATAGAATTTAACAGATGCTGCATTAACAGTTCTTTGTATCACTGGACAGAAATGTATTTGCTGCTCTCAGATGCATATTTTCTCCGTTGCTCTGCTTTAGTTGTGCTGGCTTGAAAGTCTAACATCTGCCTGTAGCCTAAGTTCTTTAAATCTTTTCTTGGTGGTGATACGCAGCTGCAAGGTGTTGCTTACTTACTTTGGCAGTTCTGATCAACAGCAGAGCCAAAATACCCTGGTTTGCAGAACTGGCAGTTTGCTCCATGTGTGTTGTGTAAACACTTGGTGCATTCTCCGGTGACCCTGTTACAGGATTCGGGATCTGTCACATCAATGTTGTTATTGCAGGAACATGGCAAACAGTCAGCCCCAGGGTTTCGTGGATTTTTGTAAAACCCACTAGGACACTCATCGCAATGATTGCCTGTCAGAAAGGAAGGTAAAAACACTTGCTGGCTGATGGGAATTCAAATGGAAAGTATAATTTTTAACAATACTGTTAATGGAATCATACTGTTCAAACACACATTTCCAATGGAAAATATCAACTTGTTTGACACTGTTGTGCTTTAATCAATTAAGATTCTCTCTTGCACACTGCAAGATGATGGAAACTTTTCCTTTTTTACCATGGAATCCTTTCAATGGGAGTTAATAGCATCAGACAACACCTCCGAACATCTTTTTTTTTTCCAGCAAAGTCTTTCCAAAAGTGGTAGTAAGTGCTGGGTCATTCTGCAAGATTTTCCCTGTGGCCTTGAGGCCTACAATGACATGGAGGGGAGGGAGGCCCTTTCCTGGAGCAGATCCATCCCACTGGATGATCCTCCATGAGGTCAGATGAGTTCTGGGGTGTTCAGTGGCTCTCAGTCCTAGCTCACTGGCATGACCTACGTCTGCAGCAATCCCAGAGCCCTCCCTGGTGAGGGTTGCTCCCTCTGTGCATCTTGGAGACCTTTCTGGGGCACACTGGTGTCATGGGGATCTCGTCCATTAGTGCATTCTCTGCCAAGGACTGTCAACTCCATCGTCCCACAGCCCAGGTGCCACCAGAGCCTTTCCCAGCCTCTGAGGAAGTGAGCCTAGAGCCACAGAGGTGCTTCAGAGCTTCGCTGGGACCACCAGGAGCAAGAGAGTTCAGAACTGAGGACACTGGTAGTTTCTAAGGACAGATGTCCCCTGGGTAAGTAACAACAAGAAAAAAAATGGCCCTATAGCAATCATTCAAGCAAAATCCCTCTTGAATAAAAAAAAAAAATGACCGAGGGAAAGATGATAGCATTGGTTCATATTTTAGTTTGTTAAGATTTCCCAGAACAACTTCATGCCTCCTAATCATCTAACTCTAAGAGCCACCAATATTGGAGCCCATTTTTGCAAAGCTGGACACATGCAAGAGTTTCATCCCCGAATAAACACTTCAGATTAATTACTGACTTTAGCATATCCACACAGGTGAATTATATACTTAACTTTCGTTATTTATTTTATTACCATTATCTGCACATTTTCTCACTGCACATTTCTGAGCAAAGCATGCTAACTTTTCTGCCTTGCATTAATGTTAATATAATGAAAATCACACTTTATTTTGCTTTGTACCTGAGTATCCCTCGAGACAATTGCAGATTAATCGTGCAGTCTGGGAGTCTTGATAACAGGAATGTGCAAAATATCTCCTGCTCGTAGGTGCCTCTGGGCACAGGCAAGGGCGGCAGGGTTCTCTTTTGTCAGGATTTCCATAGTAGCCATCCAGGCACCTGCCAAAACAGGTAAGACAAAGCAATGTGAGTCAACAAATGCACCTTTCAGTCCCTGCAGGTGAGTCAATTTACATATATTTATAATTGATTTAACAGTTCCGGTCATTGTAAGGTGAATGAATCCTGAATGAATATCCAGCTTCAAAGATGCTCAAAAATGCAGTATCAGAGGCGCATTCCCCAATCTGGCAAAAGATAAATTTATAATTTGCTCGTCAAGAAATATTACTGAAATATTACTGAAGACTTTCACCTGCTTCAGAACAAATTTAATCTAAACGGCAATACATATATCACACCACACATGCTCTGTACATATAGCTAAAAACTGCAGTGTAAAAATCCTTCGTATTCATCTATCACATGTATTATACATATTCATTATATATATTCATATATTTGTTTATCACTCTGTATACACAACAGAGTGGTTGAAATGACATTAGAAAATCCTGATGCAAATAAAAAACTGATAGCATGCACTAGGAGAACATTTCCTATTGAAAATGCTGCATATATGTATTGCATCTCTGTTGAAACCAGCCACACAGCTGGCTGCGCTGCCATCCATGCCTGTGACCCCGGGCAGGACAGCAGAATGGCTTTTGAAGCAGCTCCATCAGTCCTTAGCCTGTTTTATGGTGGCAGATGGGAGCACAATCTGTATATTTACACAATCCTGACTAAAAAATGTGGCTACTCCATGATATTTGCCCTGGGGCCTGGAGCAAATGTGGAGGCACAGGGCAAAAAGTGCTTTGCTCTTCCATTTTTAATTTATTTACCACATACAAGCAATACAGCCACAGGCTCTGTTATCCAAGAGTGTCACAAGAAAAATTCAATAGGTTTCATGGGAAAATTCTCTTAATAGTGAATTGCAAGGTGCAAAACAACCAAACTAAACTAACCAGCGAATGAATTTTACTCCGACATCTACTCTCTGATACTGCTGCCAAGATGTAGAACAAAAGAGGAACACTGTTTTAATGGAGCTGGAACATGTGGGAAAAGGCATTTGCTGGTCACATGGCAGCGATACAAACCAGCAAAGAGGACATGTTTGTTTAAGTTCCTCAGAGATAATTATAGGTATTAAAAAGGGTATTTGGTACAAATAGCCTCTTGGCTATTTGAAAACTGGCAGAAGTCTATCTTGTACATGGCACTTTGCACATGTCTCCAAACACATGACACGTTGACACCTTGCACAACTCGCACCAGGAGCCTGACACGCTATTCTGCAGACTGTGCCCCAGTCCTCCAAAAACAGCTAAGATGGACCAGCACCTTAAAACTCGCACGTTCTAAACAAATATGCACCTGCCATCCAGTAGTAAGGCCAAGTTTAATCCAAGTACATTTTCTGTTAAGGTCATCAATGCGTTCATGGGGACTTAAGTGGGCGCTGATGGCTGAAGTTGAGCTGCCCCCTGGCAAAAGACATTTTAAAGACCCACCAGCATTGGTGTGAGCTCTGCAGTGACCGCCATCACCTACCTTTCACAGTGGCTTCCAGCTGTAAACCCTCCACAGTTGAGACACGCTCCTGTCACCGGGTCGCAGAGCTCTGCGTGGCCGTTGCACGAGCACGGGCGGCAGTTGGGAAATCCAAAATAGCCGGGCAGACAGCGGCTGCAGCGCTGGCCCACGACCTCTCGCCGGCAAGAGCACTGCCCTGTCACCTGGTCACACAGCGTGCTCACCGAGCCCCGGGGGTGGCATTCGCACGCTGGAAAACACCAAAGGCAACGCTGCATCCAATGACACCTCCACCCAGAGGTGCTGCGGGGGTGGGTAAATTTGTTAGTTTTGTGGAAACATTTTGTACATGGCTTGCCACAAAACAAAGGATTCAAAGTCCTGAAAGCTTTGGTGTGCTTGAAGAGCTGGTACTGAAAGCTCTGCAACTGAAACAGAGTCCTTTGAAATGGAATGGTTTGCAAATGTAAGGCGAGGGTGACAAATCTTGTGAGAAGTTTTGTGCTCAGACCTCTGGAACTGTGCTAAGACCTCCAGCCAGGAAGGACTGGCCACCAACTCTTCTACTTCCATTCCTACATCCTCAGCAAATGCCAGGAAGGGCAGAGCCACACGGATTGGCTAGGACAGAGGTCCTAAAAGCTGAGGTGAAGTCGGCTGGGTGGGCAGAGCCTCCCCTGCCTTGCTGGGGGCACTGCCGCGTACTCACGGTAGCAGCCGTGGAAGCCGAAGCCGTAGCTCCCCGGCGCGCCCGCGTTGCAGCCGCGGCCCACGACATTCGCTTTGCACTGGCACTGGCCTCCAAGTTTAGAGCAGCTGGCACTCAGCGACCCTTGGGGACTGCACTTGCATGCTGCCAACAGGAAAGTAAGTCACAGGTTTATTAAGGCAAAACAAAGCAAATGAGCGTGGCTGTTCATGCACACTTGAAGTTACACACTTAAAAATGGGAAGGAAAGAGCTCAACAACTTCACATCATGAGTTCATTAATGACTGCCAGCCATAGCTTGGGTTATTTGATATTTCTGTATATGTGATGATGGTGTATCAGGCACCAGCACAAGTCTTGGCATTGGAGGTGTGACAAACAGGCCTCAGCCTCTCTTGGAGATAGGACAGGAAAGGGTATATCAAAATGTGGATCCAAATAGAGATAACCTGAAGTCCAGAAGTGTTTGATGTTGGTCTGCGGCTAGCACCAGTGTTGGATGTAATCTGAATGCAAAACTCAGCCTGCATCTGTGTATGAAGCCTGCTGCTTTTGGACACCTTGGACTATCTTGGCACAGACCTGCCTCCCACCTTGCAGGGGTGCTCAGGTACTGTCTCCTTGAGGACTCCAAGTGCACTGCTGCCTCCAGAAACCAGAATCCCAAACTCTCTCCTGATTAGGCTAACGGGGAGTCAGCACAGGCCTAGCATAAATGAGGGGCCCTTTGTGGCTGTGTAGTGATGACCATATTGCATGATGTAGAGTAAGCATCTGTTCTAACACTGGCCCAAAGCAAGCAGAAGCTATTGAGTCCATTGGAGGCGAGGCTCCTGCAAGGAATTGGCCCTCAAAGTTGCCCATAAAGGCACCTGCTGTTAGAGGAAGTCCAAAGAAGCCCCACAGCTACACATCCAGTATAGGAGAAGTTCAGTTAGCTGCTGAGCTACAAACTGCCTTTCCACCGGTGGGTCCCTGGGAAACCCACCAGTGGGTCCCTGGGATTGCCCAGGGCTTCAAACCCACCTGTCTGCCTATTTCTTAGGAGACTGGTAGGGTTTACGTGGTTGGTCTCTTCAAGTGAATAAGCTTGTGTACCATCCTGCCCTTGTATCCAGCTGGCTGCTGCTGCATCTGTTGCTGAAGGCTTAACAACAACTGTGCCATTTCGAGGCAACCAGCCAGTGCTAATGGAACAGCTAACATTTAGGTACTTCCGTTGTGGTCATCTGGCAGAGCAGCATCTGGTTGCAATGTTCTTTGAAAAACACACCCGCACTGCCACGATTCCTGTCTCTTTGACCTCAAAGTCTATCTTAGTGGTGACTCACCAAGGGACACACACCACAGAAAGCTGTTTGTAGCATGTTAGGGATTCAGCAGGCCATATTTTGCATGCTCTTGTACACCATGTGCTGATAAGTTTCATAAGCTTCTCACTGCTACGGGCTGAAAGCTTGCCAGTCAAAATATCCTACCCACCTATATTTGTGCAAAATAACAATGTGTTCAGGTTGCTCCTTACCAACTGCTCCGTTATGGATACGCGCGGACAGGCTCGCTATGAGCCTTGCGCACGCTTCCGGCAGGAGGTGAGCGCCAACTTCTGAGGCCGTTTCAACACACTGGTACTTCTGGTACTCCTCTAAATCTCTTTTACTGCAGAAGTTCTCCACGGAGCTGATTCTGGGAATAATTCCAAGCTTTGGCATTAAGAAAGAAAAGAAAATATTTATGCTTAGATATGCTGAAGACTAAAGTTTCCCACATTCTGTTACTGGGCTCTGCATTGCAAGGACAGAAGCCTTGAGCACCACATTTTTAAATCTGTCACTATGGTGTTCAGTCATCTAAATTCATATTTATTTGAAAGTTCTAGACATTCCCTGAGTTCTTCAAATAAAAGAGACTGTACATAAAAATCCAGTTATAATAAGACTCAGATGTATGCACAGAACTGTTTTTGCTGCTAAGAGATGCCATTTATGACCCTGAAAGCAGTATCAAACAAAATTTGTACTTGTATTACTGAGACAGAGAAAAATCAACTGAAGACTCTGTCCAAGTATGGCCCACCCTTGTCAAGCTCACTTCTGTAGAGATAACTAAAGGAATGGATTTTTAAAGCTTTCAAAGGTCTCAAGAGTAGGACCCAACACTAGCACACAGTTCATGAGTTCTTGGAAACCTGGGGAATGCCTGTATGTGATTCCCGAGAAACTGCAGGTGTGATTTTATTTTTCTATGCCAGGGCCCATCTCTAAACATAGCCATAATTTTTAATTAGAATCAGACAAATTACACAGATTTTTTTTAAAAAGTAGATGGATAAAGGACTGCATTAATGCCTATCTTTAACCACAGCATCTTGTCAGTGTACATGGAACATGCTCATAATAAATAAACACTGAATAGAGGTGCATCTTCTAACTGGCTATTAACATATCCCACAGCTATGGCTTAATGAGGTGTTGTGGCGTTGCTTGATAAAAATTAAAGCATAAAATTCCTCTCTCCATACAAAAACATATAAACGCAGGACAAATCGAGGTAAGTATAAGCTCACTTCTTTGAATTTCTGATAAAGCAAATTTATGAATCATTTTTAAATAGTTTGAATGTCTGTGTAAAAAAAGAAGTATGAATAGAGTTTCAAGGGAATTGTGACAGAATTACTCACTGAGTCGATCAAGATGAATGATATAACATTTGGGTCAGAGGCAGATGGCTGAGGAAAATAAACATCCACAAAATATTCTGTTCCTGGCTCCAAACAGACTGGCTTTTGTAGAAGAGCAATTCTGTTTAGTGGAAAGAAAGCACAGTTAAGGCCAGCAGTCAGGGGTCTCTCAGCACAGCAGCACAACATAAGTTTATTCGGTGTCATGAGCTGCCCTTCTCTGCTGAACAGAGGCCTTTCCCTGCTGCTGGTCCCAAGCAAACCCTGCTGCAGGACCCGCTGTGCTTCCCAAACCTGTCCCAGCTTGCAGGCTCCAGTGTCACTGCCTTTGGGAAAGCTACACGACTTCTGCCTCTCTGATTGTGCATGAAGTTAAACTGAATTTGGCAGGTTTTATTCTACCAAGCAAGAGAGTTTGCAATTCACTCTTCACCCTAGTCCTTTTGTACTGATGTTTTATGAAGGCTGCAGTAAGTCCTCTTAGCTCCTTTCTCTTCTTTCCATGAATGCCAGCTGATTTTTCAAAATAGGCTAGGACAGTGTCTTTACATCAGTATTCCCCTTCTATACTGATATAGCTTTAACTGTCTTTTTTGCCAAAGCAACAACTAACCCCAGCAGAACCTAAGGCTGCTCTCCTTGCTTTGACAAACCTCTGCCAGACTAAGGACTGAAGCATCAGATTCTTGGTTTATTCCTTTGAGCTATATGGTGTTATGGTATGGCAGCAAGAGGATAGGCCATGTTTCTAGTGTCATGTGTGTTTCTAGTGTTCTAATATTCTTCCACATCTACTGTTCTGTGGTGCTTCAGTAAAAGATTTGTACACAGAATATCACAGGTGTCAGGGCTGGAATAGGCAGACCTTTTCATTGCAGGGAGAGCCAATGCATGTGACTCCTGTGAAATGGCCTTGTTTTTGCAGCGGTGACTTGACAAAATACCATTGGGTTGAATGGTAACTCTTGCTAGCCAGTCTTCCAAGGACTATAAACAAAGGGAAAAAAAAGGTAATTTTTCGTATCTGAAAACAACCTTTCCTCTTTGTCATTGTTACTGAAACTGAGTGACAGCACACTGCAGTGAGAAAACACATTTTCTCTTTGCTCCTTACAGGATTAAAAAAAAAAAAAAGAGTTACCTGTGAGAAATGCACTGTATTTGCCGTGGCAAATGCAGCTGGAGTAATGGAAAGGACCTCAGCAGGTGCAAATGAAAACAGGTCTTTTAAAGTCACCTGAGATGTTCCTCTTTGTAGGACAGTTGTGTCCCAGAGAAATCATTCATTATGTACCTCCACTCATATCTTGTAAAGAATAACAAGCATAAAAGACTTTGTAACAAGAGTCTTTAAAATTCAACTATTTTGTCTAATTCTTACGTAAAAAAATCAGATCATCCTACCACAAAATTATTCAATGTCCGTTTTCACATTTTAAGTCAATGGATTGTTTGTTTGCCTCAAAATGATGGGAAAATAGCTGAATATAGTAGGCAGAATGAGTATCTATCTCCAATGCCATGATTATCCCAAGGAGCTGGGGGGGGACTGCACAAGGAATGCACAGATACTGGTAAAGATAAAACTCTGGCATATGTTTTTGAACACGTGCCTTCAGTCTTGGATTTAACCAGATCTGTATTAACAGATTTTCCTAGATGTCTCTTCATCATTGAGAAATTTTGTCCAGGCAGAAAACAAGATTTTGGCTATTTTCCTACAATGTTCATACATCTCCAGCCCAGCTGCAGCAAGTGGGAAGTTGGATGTCTGCAAAAGTCTCGGACAAATGTCTACGGAATATGCATGGATCAGCCCACTTCTGCATGCACAAACATTCTTGCTTAGGAAATCCCAGCTAGAAATTTGGGATAGCCATCTAAAAGAATCTGTATTTTGCCATGTGTCTGATTTGTGTACAAAAGTGCAATCCAAGCAGAGGTAAGAGATCAGAAATCAGAAGATGAAAGCTTGGCTGATGGCTAGAAAATACTTATCACTCTGTTTTTTTAAGGTTAAAGTGGAAAGCGTTAAGGAGATTGGCAGAGGGCGTGTTATTTCTCCCTTGATAAGGATGAAAAGGCAAGAATTTTAACTTTAAACACAAGCCATGCCATATTGCTGGTAAAACAGGCCCTGAACGGAAACTTCACGAGTACCTCAGGCTCATAGCGGATGATGATATCGAAGTCCATAGCGAAGGGAATGTTGTTGATGGTAAATCTCAGCCCTGCTCCCCTGGAAACCCGGGCGAAGCCGGGCCCTGTCCACGTGACGGGCCTGCCTGGACTGGGCTGCCGGAAAACCACGTCCACAGCGGGGTTCTGCCCCAGCTGAGCCGGGCCCTGCAAAGACACACTGGTGTTCTCACCAAAAAACAGTCAAGTTACGAAAATACCAATTCAGAGAAAAAAGAAAGGCAGGATTTTTGCCATGTAGTTTACATATTTCAGCTATTAATCAGCCTGGTTGTCTAAACATACTCTGGATTTACACTCTTAACTCTCAAGTGTGGGAAGATTAGGGTCACTTAGACAGAAAAACTTCCCAGACCTTTACGACAACAGTAGTAAGAGTGACTAGACTAACCCATCAATCTCTGTATATTTGGCATCTCCAAGTGTTCACAGTGCAAACCTTAAAAGGAGTAAAGTTGATTTTGTGGTGAGATTTTTCATTGTAAGCATTTGTATCTGTGGAAAATAATTTCCTCTCAGAAATACAAGAAATGTATTCAAATGTAATTTAAAATACTGATAGCTCTATTTAGAAACTGCACGTGCATGTGCCTACACGTGTACAGATACATAAATTTTCTCAGTAGAAGTAACACTATTAAAAGAAAAAAAGAGTTTAAATATATTTATGTTTTAGAATTAAGCATGGGCATATTTTTCAGTACAATTTACATTCCATAAACATAAATACTTAACATGACAAAGCTGACAACATTTAAGTAGAGTAGGTATGGAAGCATCTAAGTACAGCTTTGACATTGAAAACATCCTTCCCACACACAAAAATGTTTTGCTTTTATGGGGTCCCTTCCCTTCTAAACAGTTCATTGAACATGGCTCTACAAACTGCACTAATATAGCAAAATAAGCCTGCCCTGTGTGAATTATATAATGTCCAGGCCAATTGCATACCAAAAACTGATTTCATTTGTAGCAGGATTGTGTTGTCTAGAACTCTGAATTTCACATGCTCAGATGCTGCTGGTTTAATACGTTTCCTTGCACAACCTTCTTTTGTGAATTTACATTTTAGTATGTGGTGTACTCTTGCTTAAATAACTATTACAGCACCTATTTACCTGTTTCAATCCTGCTTTTCTTACACTTTGTTTCTTGCTTCTGTTTAAAACAATCTTTCCATTTTCTATTGTGAACTCATATCCTTGCTTTTGGAAATAGACATCACACCTTGGAAGAGTTGTTGGTTTAACCTAAAAAACAAAAGCAACGAGAGAGGAGACAGCATTGTCTGAACTATACTGAAGGATAAGCAGCTAAGCGAAAATCGTTATTCATAAAACAAGTTCTATCTTCTTCTAAAACTGCTCCCAGCTCTCCTGGAAACTTTTTTTTTGCTCTGTTACAATTAACTTGTCCTTCCTCTCATAAGCTATGTCCCAGACATCTGTTTTCCATTTCATTGCCGGACTGTAGGATGATTACTGGTTGTGATTATAGCTAAATATTTTTGGACGTGACCTGCAAATAAACATTTTTTTTTTATTATCCCTTCTCTAAAGCTTCTGAACAACACATCAGAGAAGAAATATTAGTAAAAATGCAGGCAGCGGAAGGGACACATTCCAGCAAGGTCAGACTTGTACTTGGGATGGAGAACAACTAGAGTAATTTTGTGAATAATAGGAATAGTAAAAGTGCTCTAAAAACATTATGCATGGATGCCAAATTCTTGAGGAAATTGGGCTATAATCAGTGTCATGACACAAAGCAGCAAGGATGGAGTTCAGTGGATCGGAGAGAAATTTGGTTCTTCCCCCTGTTAAGAGTTTTGCAGAAATATCAGTTTGTGATATCTCATCCTAGAGCTGTTGGTATCTCACATACATTCTCTAATTTAATTAATTAAATTAATTGCTCTGATTTAAACCAGACCAGCACCCAGTTGGGGATCAGGGACATCTCTGCACATGGTCACACCATGTTGCAGTGACTGTTCCCTGACCACCACAGTTCAGGTGCAGTCTTGTACATGGACAAAAAAAATGAGTGGATGAGATGATGGCTGTGGAAGTTGTTTTGCACCTTCCTGCCTAGGAGCAGCTCTGGCTGCTCTCCTGAGCCTCAGCTCCCCTGTAGCCCCTGCATGAATTTCCTCTCAGTTCCACACCTAAAAAGCACACAACATACCAAAGGTGCAGAGCCAGAAAAGGGCTTGGCTTGCTCAGCTTCATAAATGTAATAATCCAGGGGTAAAAAGAAGTAGCCTGGGGCTGGTTCGTTGCACTGGCGGCTCATGATGTTGGGAAGACACCTGCACTGACCATCCTCTGGTGAGCACCTAGGGTAAGAGTTGGTAAAGGAAGGATATGAGAGTATAAAACATCTGGGTCTTCTGAAAACAAAAGGAACTAAATTCCAGCTTTGTTTCAGCTTTGTTTCTTTCATCACTAGATGAGATCCCTTATAATACTTTTTCCTACTGCGAACCATCTATTTCCTCTGTCTGATGCTGGATTAATCTACTGTTACTTTCTCAACACTTACAAGAGGTGTGACAGGCTCTTTCTTTTTCTGTCTATTTCATAACAAATTCCTTTGTTTCTTGAGCATCTGCCACTATCCATTATTATATCTGTTACTCTATTTATTACTATGTCTATTACTAGTCTTAAGACTATATCACCTATCATTTTTAGGGACAGAGCATTAGGTCAGAAGGAGTTTTGATTTGATGCGATATGGTAATGTTCATATACTTACACTCTTATTTACCATATGACATAATGGCTAGTTATGATTTACCACACACTGGCCATATTGCCATATTGAGGAATTGTCCTATGGGATCAGATTATATGATCCTATATCTGAAATCTAACAAGCAATGATCTAAATCTTGGAGGAGCACAACTGAAACAAAGCTTGTCTCTAAAATTATGCCTTTTGAATAGGAGCCCAGTACCTCTGAAAAAATAAGACATTTTTAGCATTTAAAGTGGATATTGGAAGCTGAGTTAAAAATGTCACCCCTAACTTATTGCTCATTTCAACTAATATTAGAGCTTCTGGTTCTCTCAAACTAGATGGTTTGTATTTTTCATTAAAATAATCTCAACTCCGCGAGATTCAAAGTGGACTTCAAAAGAAAAAAGGCAAATCCCCTATAAAATCTCAAATTTCCAGGATCCCAACATGACTTTATGGTGTTTGCATGTGAGAAAATTGTCTTCAGTCTATTTTTCCATTTGTACTCAGACTGTATGAAACTAATTAGAAAGTCTAGCCAAAGCCAAGACAAAACTTCAAGGCGAACACTGACTTACAAATTATTCTGGGATCCCCCAATGTCACAGTCACATGGAGAGCAGCCATACAAGCTCTTGCCAAGGCCCCAGTATCCTGGCTGGAATATAAAGAAAAAAAATGATTTTTTACAGAAAATATCTAAGTATATAAAGCATAACAAAATTTACTTCTCTGGATGCACAATCCTCTGGAGCTATGATGTAAGGTTAAGAAAGGATGTGTTATTAAGGTTCAAGTCCTAGTAGGCCAAGCTGCTGTATGAGCTATACCACGCTGTCCACAGAGCTCTGCGGAACATCAGCAAAGTTTATCTGCTGTCTAGCCCCTTTCTCTGCTTTCAAAGTTTGTATATAGGGCAATTTTCTGCACTTTTTGTTTGTTTCTTCTGCCATTTAAAATGCTTTAATTCTATAGACAGATACAATAAGTTTTGAACCAATATTATTATACAATAAGCTTCCTGAGTGAAAGCAAATAGTTTTCATTTTCCTTCTGTTTCTAAATGCATAAGAAATGGCGCCGCACACCCAGAACATCTGCCACTCTCTGCTCTGGTGCAAAGCCATCGCAGAGCCCACAGGGAGGCAGGCAATGGGAGCGGCATCTTCCAAAACCACATGAATCAAGGCCCGGTTCAGTGTCGCATGGAAGAGGGCCTCGGTACGTACAACGCATTGCTGACAGCGTCGCCCGGTGGCATGCTGCTGGCAGAGGCACTCGCCGGTCACCGTGTCGCAGCTGGAGAAGGGCAGCGTTCCTGAGGGATCACAGTTGCAGGCTGCGAGGAGAGAAACGGGTGGTTACTCGTGTGGCGCTGCTGTGTGCAGCAGGGCTGCCATTTGCTTCGGACGTGGCAGCGGGAGCCCCCATCGCTCGGGTAAAGGATCTGCAGATCGACATTCCCTGTTCCAAGCCTACAGGAAGCTGCTTGTTTGTGGGGAAAGGACCTTTGCCTTGGTGGGGAACCTCTCTGGGGGGAACAGGGAATGATTGGCAGGAGTCCATGCAGTGATTTTCTTTGCAAGCCTGTGTGCTGATCCTCAGATTTTGCTCACAGATTCAGAATGTCTCCAAGTAGGAGACGGATGTGTTGTCTCCTACTTCAGAGAACTGCCTGGCTGCAGGCTCTCAAGACAAGCACTCAGCAGCTTTCTCATTCCCCTGTCACTAAGTGCTACGCATCAAGAGCCCCAAAACACCATCCCCAAAATTTAGAAAACAAGCAGAGGGGCAAAATAAGTCATGATCTTATTAGCCTCAAGGAGCATTCATTTGGGGTTTGCTTCAGGCCACATGGATTTTTCTTCATTTTATGTTAGCTGTAGTTTGAGCATGGAACCTGAAGTGAGCCGAATATGTGGGTTTGGATGGTATTTCTATTTCCCTCTTCCTAAAAAATACATTTGCTTCCTGACAAATGGCTCCTAAATGAATTTAAAAGAACATTTCAGACCATGGCTGCCCAGAAAGAGCCATATATATATATGTTCCATAGAAACTAGTCTTAGCTATTGGGAACCTTACAGAGGAGGAAGCAGAACATTACACATTACAGCCCAGCACTATCACCGGAGTGGAAAGAATGGTTTTGGGAAATGCTTACATCGAGTTAGCCTGCTGTATAACTACACCCACCCTGCACAGTCTGTGACACCTCAGTCGAGAGGTGAGCACTGAGAAGTTAAAATGCGGTAAAAGAGCTGGCCTCAATCTCCCAGCACTGCAGCGAGGCTATCTCTGAGGCTGGAGCTGGGCCATCTTGACCCTGCTCTGTAGAGCCCAGATATCCTCAGAGGGGACCTTGGGATTGTTTCCATGGTTATTAAATCACCCTTTTGCTTATTTTGATTATAAAATGACATTCACATGTTTTAATCTCTTTTTTTTTTTCAATGAAATTGCCTATTTAACAATCCTTCTATTAATAATCCTTTTTTTATAATATAAGCATATGTTCTGCAAACGTCTGTGTGTCTTTTCAGTCCTGATAACCTTTGCCTTCCTCAGGAATGTGATCTCCCTGCCATTAAATTCCTGTAGGCAACTGAGTAATTTGTAAAGCAGGTCATGTGTGTTTCCACGGGCTCTAGTACCTCAATAGCTTTCAAATCATAGAATCACAGAATGCTTAAGGTTGGAAGGGACCTCTAGAGGTCATCTAGTCCAACCCCCCTGCACACACAGGGACACCTAGAGCACGTGGCACAGGACTGCATCCAAGCGGGTTTTGAAGATCTCCAGAGAAGGAGACTCCACAACCTCTCTGGGCAGCCTGTTCCAGGGCTCTGTCACCCTCACTGTTAAGAAATTTTTCCTTAAGTTCCTATGGAATTTTTGATGTTTCAGTTTCCGGCCATTTCCTCTAGTCCTATCAGTGGCCACCACTGAAAAGAGACCATCACCGTCCTCTGCACTCCCTCCCTTGAGGTATGTATA